CTTTGTAACTTCTTGTTCTTCATGTCAAATATATTTAACTACCTATGATAATTAGAAGTATTTGAATTATAGTATGAACTAATAATCCCAGGGATAACGCAATTGAATCAAGAAGTACTACACAAGCACTAACGAATGTACAGTATTTAGAATTCGAAATCAAACATTCAACAAGTACAAAGGAGTCATTAGTTCATTCAAACACCACACTACCCCCAACCCAAATGTCCTTCAGAATTGCGAAACTTCATACTGCTAACTGTCACTGTAGGAGTGCTAGTATAGATGATGGTGTGATTTCCATGTAAGATCTTATCGACTTTGTGGTCACGTTACGGTAAATTTACAATTTTAGGGTTAGGTCTATTATTTTATTATCGTGAACAAGTGCACTTATGCCGACCTATGTTCTGGTGATCCATATGGATCACTCTTAACAGTTTTCTCAGCAGATAAAAATACCCTAGGGTAGCCCGGATCTCGGACATGCTGATCAACATCACAAAGCAATAAAAAGACCAAAAGTTTGGACATGGAAAAAATAAAAACGAACGAACAGAAACTATGAGGGTTAGTGGGCTAGGGATTGTAAAGTTTTATGGCAGCCCTTAGCCGCCGCCGTTGGATATGGTCTCAGAAAAAACAATTACTGGGCTCTTATCAAGTAAATTATAGTTCATAGTTATCAGACACCACACGTTAACTATATTACTGGGAATATGGAAGCTTAACCTTGTCGGAGCTTGTCATAACTTCCCCATCGCGCTAGAAGACATACCTAAAACGGCAGTAACGCCCCCGTCCGAATAATATGCATTTTTGTTCAGGCACTTCAGATAAACCAATCCAGCACAAACGTTTCGGCGAGTCATTCACATTACGTTTGGGAGAAGTTGTCGCTATCCGTAACTATCCGTTACCAGAATCACGGAAGAAACTGCAACGATTTCTGTGTCTACTTGGTTATTGTAGACGATTTATCCCGAACTGTGGGATAACATTGCAACCACTAACGGAAGCCTTGCGAGGATATGCCCGGACATTCCATATATCTTCAAGGACTATGTTAGCACTTAAGAATGATGAGTAAGAGCTGGACGAAAAGACGATGCTGGTTTCACGAAAAGGCGAAAACCCGTTAGTTATCATGACCGTTGCATCGAACATGGCAGTAGGAGCCATATTTCAGCAGTTCGAAAATGCCACTCGGATACCATATTCGTTTTCTTTGAAGTGGTTGAATCCATCTGTGATGAGGCACAGTACATCCGGAAGAGAAGTGTTGGCGATTTACTTGACTGTAAAGCACTTCTGATATATGATATAAGGTACAGTTTCTACTGTCTATATAGGTCGTAAACATTAAACGCCAAACAAGGTTGTAATACGTCTAGGAAAATTCGACAGTTAAAATTTACTTCTCAGTTTTTGTCCAAAACACAATTCATTCAAGGCAATGTTAAAGAAGCAGCAGATTCTTGGTATAGAGTAGCGACAAATACGTTAATGTCAGTTGAAGTCGACTACTACAGCCTGGCGAATCTGCAATAGGTGGATGTTGAGTTAAGGGGACTAAGATCTGACAACACAACTTCTTTGGTATTCGTAGAAGTTCTGTTAGCCTGTGTAAAACTAATGTGTGTGATGTATATGGGCCGACGGCATTATGGTGAAAGGTCTTCTAAATCAAGTATAATATATCGCAACCATGAACGAAAGTCATGATCAGGTTTATAAGAGAGCATTTTGCATGGCCAAGCATGAATCCTGATGTTCTTAATTCTACACTGGCCTGCATGTAATGTCAGTTCAAGGCCTGTCATCACACTAGATCTCTAGTGGGTGCTTCCCGTCACCCCGACATTAAATTCGAGTGTATACACATCTAAATTTTTGGAGCGCTTCCAATTTCGTATGGTTTGCAATATATGTTCACTTGCTTCCGTAGATTCGCACGAAGGCCTGTAATGGTGCCAGTGAAGGTCAACTTGTGAAACCAGAACATAGGTCGGCATAAGTGCACTTGTTCACGATAATAAAATAATAGACCTAACCCTAAAATTGTAAATTTACCGTAACGTGACCACAAAGTCGATAAGATCTTACATGGAAATCACACCATCATCTATACTAGCACTCCTACAGTGACAGTTAGCAGTATGAAGTTTCGCAATTCTGAAGGACATTTGGGTTGGGGGTAGTTAAATAAATTTGACATGAAGAAGAAGAAGTTACAAAGAGTGACCACGTTTGTATGAGCGAGCCATATCATACTGATAAAGTGTTCCCGTGTTCACCATTTCTGAACTTCCCTATGTGTTAAATGTTCAATTTAGATCTTTCCAGTCATCGTATGTTCTGCTTCAAGGATCACATGATCGGGAGACAAAGCCACTATAGAATATCCAAAATTGGCTGCTGGGAGCAAGAATGTAGCATCATGCTAAGTCATGGAGTGGTTCGATGGCATTGTCTAACCACGTCCTTCAGGAGCGGAAGTGTCAGTATCATTTGTTCAAAAAACTTTATTTCAGAGAATTATTTGTGGTTGAGCCTTCGGACGAACGTCTTCGTCAATGACTTGCAAGGCAGTTGTAATTCGTTACTTTCACAATCTAAAATGGTTATCCCCTTATTTAATCTCAGATTCCGAATGTTAATTAGTTTCTATATCTCTTGAAATGGAATTTTAGAGTGAACTATTTGAGTTTTCAGTGGTAAGGATGGTCGGTAGTTGTTTTGTGCTAAATGTCGTAGTTTGTCTTTTAGTGGTACTCCAGACTCACTTTAAAGGTGTTTACTGATAGGGCCGGTGCCACTTGTTCGGATAGAACGCTCCTTTTGTTGAACACATGACGGGAAAAATGGGACCCTACTTTTGGTTTACTCGGTTGTGGATGCTGAACCTTTTGTTGTGACTCCAGAGGTAGTGAGTCCTAGAGGGAGCAAGAAAGGTAAGACGTTAACTCCTAGGTTGTTATCTAAGATACGAAATGACAACACAGGGTCATTTCGCATTGTTCGATAACACACGGGGAAGTGTTCAGACGTTTTCACCGCCTATCATAAGATAATTCAGAGGGTGCCGTCACTAACGTGGTTCCTGTTACATCTTGTGGGACGCGCGGATTGGAGATCAGCGAATTATCGATCGGACCAAAGACGCGTAAAACACGTAAGAGCAGCCTAGAGTTCTGATTGGTCCTGCTTCCCTGTCTAGCCCAGCCAGTTGAGTCCAGAACACAAGTCTCAGCTTCGGAGATATGAATCATTATATTTTAAGCACACTCGGTTTATATATCAGCCAGACAGACCACAACGAACCAATAAAATATAAAACAACATGTGTACAAAAATTAGTCAGATGTGGCTGTGAATGAGGGTGATAGGAACCAATAGACAGGCCATAACTCAAGAATGGTAAATCATATAATAATAGTTCATAGGTCAAAATAAAACTCATAATAAGAGGGACATGGATATGAATAGATTAGTTACATAATAATTATACGACAAAACTATACTCATAATATCGGTCCATAAATGGATCTCAAAAATCACCATTCATTATTCTTATTGGGATATAACAGTTCCCATATGTAGAAGATACTCGAAAGTGTTGATTTGATAAACTTCCAGCAATATAGTCATTGACGTTTTAAATAGACCATTGACTACTTGACACCGATTCAGAGGTGATGCATAACCCGCTTCCAAAACGAGTGTCTTGGTAATTTATGGGTTTGCACGTCTATCTGTGAAGGACGACGCAATAGCTCACGTGAAGTTAGTCATGGGATGGTATTCTTCGAATGTACCTTTCCTGTTCAGTCGACCCATTTGAGCTAAGACAGTACAGTCTCAGATTTCATTAAAGTCACCCAGACAGAGATTAAGACGGAGTGGACAGGTGTACTATGTATTATGCTTGAACCGTAGAGTGCAATACGATGTGACCACTGCTAGCCAGTAGGGTTAGGAACTGAATATCCACCATCTTACCACAATAGTAAGTGAGGAAAAGATTCAACAGTGATGATTCATGTCCTAAGGCAAAATGTGTCAAACCGAAAATATAAATATCGAAATGGTAACGACATTACTGAATCATTGTATGTAGAGTTAATTAAGGATATACAAAGTATAAGTATGTAACTAAGATTGGGTAGTTAGTCTTTAACTGTTAGGTTCAGCTTATTTAATTAACTACTAAATCCACTATTTGTAGATGTTTGATTTATCTTCTTCTAAGATTGTCGCAAACTGAGGTTTTTATTGGTCCTAAATGTTGTCGATTGCTTTCATTATTAAATGTGGGTACTCTAGCTGGGTCATCGATTCACCTTTTCTTTTGTTCTTCGCTTTACAAACTTTCCGCGATGAGGCTTCTATGTATACTTCCCGAGAACACATATTGTTCTCTGGCTAGACACGGACCGCTATAAATTACAGTGTGTAATTACTGATTGCGAAATATACCAAAATAGTCCGATATAATATATAATTTATTATCTAGTAATGGGGACACAAATATTACCTGTTGATTTGTGTGAAAACTGTATTAATGGTCAACCGATATGGCAGCCGACTGAATGTCATCCAATGGTATATAAGCAACAACGTATTTTATAGACAACAAACAGTGTGTCATTCAAATCGAGCCAGTGTACCGGAAGAGTTCAGAGTCAATATAAAAGAACAATCTCCCACTCAGTAACCATAACTGTTTAAATTTTATGAAATTACTTAAAGTGTGAGTGGTTGCAGAAATTACTTACATAAAAAGTCTATGTTAACCATTTTCACAAATGCGTACCATCTTTTAAAACCCTACAGGGATACTTTTTGAGAAAATAAACGGCATCTGAGATGTTTTCTAGCTTCTTCCAGTACTCATTTTAGTCATGGTACATGTTCACAAATCATGAATTAAATAAGCCTCAATAAGCAAGCGCACTTTCAGATGTGTCCAAGGTCGGACAAGCGGTTGGTATTTTGAAATGTCGGTCCGAAGGTGTAGGGCTGTAAAAACAACTGGATACAGCCTAGCACAGCCGATAGATCCCGGAACGTTAATACAGGACTCATTAAAAAGGAGATGGGTTACAGGTTCTGCAATTGGTCAGGGTGGATTTGGACGTATATACTCAGGTAAAGTTGATTCTTAGCTTCTTAATAATTGACGCAGCTAAACTTGAAGACGAGAAACTTTTCCGTTATGTTATTAAAATAGTAAGGATTTCGACGTTCATAAAGTAATTTTCAGGAACCGCAAGAAAATGGGCCACTTTTTACGGAAATGCATTTTTACATGAGGGCATGTTCGGAAGACTTAAGTATGTTTTTAGTGTATTTTAATCGGGAGTATTATACTTTTCTTCGTACTTGGGTTCCAACTATTGTTTTAGAAGGTATTTTTCCGCTTTTCAAGCTGTACCTGAAAAATAATCTTTTGTCATTAGATACACAGTCAACATAACTATTACTTGGTATATCATCACGTAAAATAACCTGTCAAAATATAGGGATGCTTTCATCAAAAGGTATCCATCAACCGCACAGAAAAAAATTAGTCAATATATAGAGGTGTTTAGGTGCTTCATCCGAAAGTGTTTTCTGTTTCTTGATACACCTCACTTTACTACTGATTGTTATTAGCTTCATAGTTGAAAATTGAAAGTTATGGGGTGTTCTGTTTCTAAAGTGACGTGTTTGTCGAGAGTCATAGCACAAGAATGTCGGTCTTGAGGCGAAGTTTAGTATATATACACAGCTGTGACCATCACTACACAATAGTGAATCTTGTTGACCACCACCACCACTACATTTTTGTGCAGTTATTCGGTTAGACTATGGTTTACAGCAACCTTTAAGTGACTCTGAAGTAACCTTGAGAAGAGTCGCTTGCTTATTACAGTCGAGAGTTGAAAATTAATATGAGAAATCAAGATTAGGATTTAAAGCTAGGGTTAAGAATTGCGTTAAGGACCTTATAATGAACTGACATCATTTATGATGCAAACATGCTACTTAACCATATATATGCCAAAATCCTGAACTTTGTCACTAGTTTTCTTGGTTTGCCCATAGATTATGGTCTCCCGCTAGTTACTTGTTTTGGATGAGTTCCCTGATATTCACATCACATTCAGTGTATCATAAGCTTTTCACTGTTAATAAGCGTTTACCTTCGATAGGATTCCTTCGTGGCTGTCTCTAAAATGCCTTTTAAAGTCTCAAGACATCGGATGTCACAACTTGCAAGAAACTAGCTTGAGAGAATAATCCACCTGGTCCATAAATGTATGGGATGTAAACTTATTAAGCATTTGTAGTTTCAAGAAATATTTATTGTCAGTCATTATGTATCTGGTTGTAACGAATATGAGATTCTCGGTGTGTAAGTAAAGTCTGGTATTTGAAGGCCAGTTATTTTCAGTGTGTACACTTAATATGTGATTGGTAGCAGATTTAAGTGCCTGCAGATTACCTTAGAGTATGGCTACAGTAGTGGTTTTATTCAAAAGAAATGGTTTGTCTGTTACAAATGAAATAATTCATTTTTTTTTACTATATTATTACCGCCAATGGAAACTGAAACGAACCTCCTTGATTGTGTTTTTTAGCGCACCAAAAGTCCTTTTTTGCTACAAACAGTTGTTTATCATTGTTGAGCATAGTAAACTGAGTATTCCAAGGATGATTCTCCACATGATTCTTACTCAGTTCGTCTCGTATTGTATTACTAGCACTACATTTCCTCTCCAGACGGGCTTGGATAAGCTGAAAAAGCTTTTATAACAGTATTCCAGTTTTTCTTCCTCTTTCTTAGACTGAATCTTTTAGGCGGATAATTTGCAAGCTTAGTCGTTCTCCGTGTTGAGACAAACCAACGGGTATTAGGACTTTGTTGAGGTGTTCAAGCTAACCCTCTATCCGATAATGTATTATGTTTTGGATTACATTTTTACGACTTCCGTTGAACCTATTCCATATTTACATTCTGGTTTTTCTACGACCTGGGTTTTTGTCCAGCTATATTTATGGATAAAGCAGTAGTTTCGAGTGTAGAGGCAATAGATTTCTGGGGTGTAATAGTATAATTAAATGAGTTACAGCTGTTCAAGCAGTAACCAATAGCATACAGTCTGCTTGTGTTTGAAAAGTTGAGATACCAGGCTGATGCACCAACGTTGCCCAATGTTGCGTATGAGCAATAGATTATTACCTACATAAGACTAGTGAAGACACTTACAGTCCTGAAATAGGTTGTTTCTACTTACTGGGGCTCCTGAAAATGTGCATTCAGGTTAACAACTAGCAGCGTAACTTTCATACTAGATTTTATAGAGCATAAAATAGCCTCAACACTTGTAAAGTTTATACGAATTACCGGGGACTTAGTTAAGCTTATGTACTTCGTGTAATGTTCATTCTTTGAACATTTATCTTGTGAATGACTGGTAAAAGCATCCGCTCTTCAATTGAATATGAGTATATATTTCTGTCCTTGCTACAAACCAGTAGTATGTATATATCAAAATAGACTTTTTACCTTGAATTCTTCGCTGATGAACTGGGTTGCTAATTTAAACAGCTTGACTGCAGCCGGAAATCTACAGGTTTGGATCTCTGTATAATTTTTTTGGTCATATGATATCTTTGGTCATCACAAGTATTTAAAATCTGGCAAATATGTTTACCTGATTGTTAAGTTGCTTCAGTTTGTTGCTTCCTTTGTAGGGTTAGAAAAGTTAAGTGTTGTTTCAGTTAAATGGCGGGAATTTTATTTACCACTCATATTTTGTCATTCCCAACTGGTAACCAAATATAAATTCTTATATTAGGATGTGGGTCATATTTGTTGCTCAAGTTGGTAATATTTCCAAACTGTTTGATGTGAAGTAAACTGTTTTTGTATCTGTAACTCAGTGATCAAAAGTAATAGACGTATCATCAAGTCCCGGTTTCACTCTCAATCCTTATCCTGTTATCATAGCATTTAATGGCAATAGTTTTGTCTTTGTAAATGGGAATCGTTTCAGTGAATCTGAGACTCAAATAACGTTATGCGTTTACAGTTAGTAAGATCCAGAAAAAATGTCTATCACTGTTCAGGCGTTTTATTTCGTAAAATCATCAATCAATCTGGTTGGTTTGGAATACATTTCTTTATTTTAAAATGTTCTCTCCTATTCAAGATTTAATGACTCATATTTAGTAATGTTTGCCTGTTGTTTTTGTCACCCGACTAATATACAAGTAAATTCATGGAAAGTAAAACACTCCCTCAAATACCTCGGTATTCCGAGGTATATAAGCAGTGGATCAATCAATTTAAACAAAGCAGCTCTCCGATTTCTTGTAATGGATCGGTTTTCTGGAGATTTAGAAACTACACTAAAAAATCATGAAATATCCGCATCTGGTATTCTAGAAGCCTGTGCTAATGTGGTGAGTATTTTGACAAAAAAGTTGTGTGTAAATTAGCTCTCAAAAGATTTTATTGTATACTGCGTATACTACAAACCTTTACTTGTATGTCTTCTGACCGGATGAAATGGAGTAGGGCTTGGGAGTTTGTTCTTTTTATTCAAAACATCTCTGAGACAGCGTGTTAGAGGAATAACATTTTGATATGATACTGACTACTGTATTTCTCATCAATAACCATTATTTTTTCAATACGCCCTCATAATAGTTGCATCATATCGTGCTGGGTGAAAAATGAATAGAATCAGCCGTTCATGCAAACACGAGCTGTGGACTAAGACATATACTTAAAATTAAGGTGAGAAAGAGAATAGACCAAGCGGAGTTGGGAACGCACAGAGATATAAGATGATATAAAGTTCAGACTGATCAGAATAATGTAGTCACCGACATTTAAGCAGATGATTATTTGAGGAAAAACACTCTCTAGGCCTTACAAAAATATTAAGGACTGGATTTCCTAAATAGCCGTTGACTAGAGTAAGTGTATCCATAACTTGTTTTTATAAGGTTATGGAGTCGATGTGAACTAGTGGTTTGGATTCAGAATTATCTAACTACCCTAGGCAGATTCTTCACTTATCCGCTTTAGGCGTTGAGCGTTTGATTTCACCCTTACTTTTTATAGAAGCACTATGTGAAGGTATTGAGTAAGATTTACTATGAAGAGTGTATATATTTGAAATTGCATTAGTGTCAACCTTCCATTTAGTTTAGGGTACTAATCATCCCTGAATTTATATATACAATTCACGTGGTGGGCTGAAATTATTTGCATAATTCATTACCTTAACCTTCGATTTTCCTAACGGCGTTTTTGTATTGCTAGTTTATCTTGTTCATAATCTTTCAAACGTTTTAGTTAAATGCTTTGGAATATATGCATTCAAGGGACTATGCACATGCAGATATCAAAGCATCAAATCTTCTTCATAGAACGTCGCAACAGGAGGTTAGTTTGGGATAGTTAATTAATTATGTAGACAATTGATTTTGAAATTTCTTTACATAGCTGACCTCCTCACGTTTACAACTGTAAACATCCTTTTTAAATTAATGTGTGACATTCATTCGCTTACATCACATATTTTCCCCACAAGTTGTTTTGACCTACTCTATGTTATGCGATTGGAAAATGTTAACGCAAGTTCTAGTGAACTCTGCAATTACTTTGTAACAAGCCCCCAAATGCCCTGGTACGGCCGAGAGTGGGGAGAGTCCGCTCTCCCTCTCGAAATGCTCTCACATGGCCACGCGTACATAGCCCCTGCCAGGGAAGTCCTACTCACTGCCTTCTCGTGGCGGGGGTGTTGTTTACGAAAATGAGAGGACGAAAAGCGAATGTCCGGCGCTTTAACCGGACCCCAAACCAATGGTGCACATGGGCTCCAGTATCCTGAAGGAACAAATGGCGTATGAACCAATCGTTGGTCACCGGCTACCATGGGACTGCGTCTCCTCACGATGCTCCACTGCCTTGTGGATCAGACGTTCAGGTCGAAGGCTCGGGGTGTGGCCCCCTAAGAAAACCACCTGCTTCGGTTTGGGCACCCGAGCAGTATCACAGCCCTCACACAAATCAATTGAGATTCGTGTGGCGCATATGTACTTGGTGCCTCCTTGTACCAATACCTATGTGTTAAAATAAATAAATAAACTTTGTAACAATGTATTCTCGAAATTCTTGACTCTAGCCGCTTAGTTATTGCGAAGACAAACCTTTCATGAGACTGAAGAATATATTTTATACAAAGTACCATTTTCTACATAATTTCTCTCTTCGGTAATTGTTTATTACATTCAACTAGTTACTAGCTTTCCCCCAAATGGCCTGGTACGGCCGAGAGTGGGGAGAGTCCACTCTCCCTCTCGAAATGCTTTCACATGGCCACGCGTATATAGCCTCTGCCAGGGAAGTCCTACTCACTGCCTTCTCGTGGCGGGGGTGTTGTTTACGAAAATGAGAGGACGAGAAGCGAATTTCCGGTGCTTTAACCGGATCCCAAACCAATGGTGCACATGGGCTCCAGTATTCTGAAGGAACGAATGGCGTATGAACCAATCGTTGGTCATCGGCTACCACGGGACTGCATCTCCTCACGATTCTTCACTGCCTTGTGGATCAGATTATTAGGTCGAAGGCTCGGGGTGTGGCCCCCTAAGAAAACCACCTGCTTCGGTTCGGGCACCCGGGCAGTATCACAGCCCTCACACATATCAAATGAGATCTGTGTGGCGCATATGTATTCGGTGCCTCCTTGTACCAATATCTATGTGTTAAAATAAATAAATAAGTAATAAGTTACTAGCTTAAAAACGAATTTCTCACTGAACAGATGTCAACACTGAATAGACACACAACACAAATCACAGTACAAATGCATACTGAAGTAACTAATAACTGAGTTTATCGAAACTTAATCGGATATTAAAGCGAACTATTATCATATTGAACTGATCAAACAACCACACTTTCAGACACTTTTTATCAGTTGCCTTGGGAAAATCCCACATCGTTTCGCGGGGGACTTAATATGGCTAGTCAGAATCAGCTCTAAAATCTAGTTCTTATTCCATTAGCTAATGAGTGACTTACAAATGTCATAGTATCTAAACATTTTATATTTGATCATGTGCATATCCGTAACTAATATTTTGGATACGAACATGTTATTTTACCGAAAAAATCTTTTCTTTTGAACAGAATGACAATGTCATTCTTGTACATCCTAGGATTTAAGTCGATAATCTGGTCTCATTAGGAGTTGTCGTTTGGTCACCTAGTATTATTGAACATTATCTACTGATCAGCATCCTGTTTATTCTTTTTAACAACCTTGTAAAGGTGAATCATCACAATTCACTAAAAACTATTTCTCCATAACAGAATAGAAGTGAATGAGGATCCTACCACGGTGTTCTTAACTGCGACCGGCGGTCGACGTTAGGTGACATGACTAACAATTGGTTACAATGGTGCAAATACACTTATTTTCTATCCTGTTTTAGATCTTAAAATTCAGTATTCTTTCATAGATACATTTGCATTCTATCTTTCCATTTGGTCTTTCTTATTATTATTTCTAGCATTACTTTGCTATTCACTTTATTTTCATCTATTCGTGTTATTTTAGGATTGGGTAGTGGACATTTGCATCAGGTTCTACGTTTATGATTGACACTTTACATTTTCCCACCATGTTATCAACCGTAAAATATGTATCTTCAAAATGAATAAAATATTTCCTGGTTGTGGCGAGACCATGAATTTTTATTATCTCACTGAAGACTATAGTTTATAGATCAACCAATCAAACTTAAGATGATAGTGTTTTTTTGGAATTTTGTGCAAAGTTCGTCCATTCATATGGCCACAAAGCATAATTGGATTATTGTTAGTGTCAGTTAGTGACGAAAACCCTAACCTTGGTCCCTAGTACTAACTGCTGATCCTCAGCACTAATTCTTAGCCCTATTTCGAGCCTAGTAAGTGGTTGAAATTTTTCGAGAGCATCTTAAAATATATCAAAGGTCTCCCATAAATTATAGTCTCACCGAAGTTTTGTTTGTCCTCAATAAGATTAAAAATGAAAACATACTTGATCGTTCTAAACTCGTTTTTAAAAAAATTAATTTCAGGTTTATTTAGCTGACTTTGGTCTAGTTCACTTATTTCGTTCAAAAGGTGTACATACTGCTGAAAAGGCAGATCCAAAATTTCGTCACAATGGAACAATAGAATTTTGTTCAAGAGATGCACATAATGGTTGGTATTTTCAGAAGAATGTCATGTTTTTTATATTTGTCTGTTACTTTAAATGATTTTTTTTACTTACATATTGTGTCGATGTGTTTTTTTAGAATATTAGTTTCAATACTTTTCTCAGTAGTAAAATGTAGATACAACTCGAAATTTAATGTGTATTTGTATTAAGTCTTCAAATAAGCTAGAAAAATTACCTAACTCGTTATATTTGCTGAATTATTGGAAAGTCGTAGAATTTAGTAGTAGCAATAATTGTTGTCTTCTTGTATGATTGTTTTTAGCTATTCCTCTTCACTCCGTGGAGTTGTAGTTGGAGATTATTTTACGTATAGGGTATTGAGTGATAAAGTAAAACTCAACAATGTTTGAATGTTCTATGAGTATTATCGGGACATTGATTTCTGAATGTATATTATCTATTTTATACTTCTGATAAATCATATGATCTTATTATTGGTTGTTTAAATATGAAAGATTAAACAATGAGTCCTTAATCAACTTTAATTTTATGGAGCCGTCTTCCGTACACTTAGTCAATTCGATCCACCTGGATCGTCTTAAATGATTAGTTAAGCCACTCTCAAATTCAAGTTCTAGATCTCACGTTCTGTTGTGCTTTGGGTTATTTTCCCTTCCAAAGTGAACTGGATGCTTCAAAGCCTTGATTCCTGCTGTGCATTATGATATCAGTTGTTTTCTTAGCAGTTCTACATATGTCTATTAGTGTATTTGTCACCATGTATGTTTGTTTTAGTCTTATATTTTGTTTAATATCGTAAGTAACCGTTGAAAAGTAGGCAGATATTTAGGATACATCCAGTTTATTTCACTCTGAATTAGTATGTATGTCTAATGTTAAATGCATTTTGTTGAATAAATTATTATTTTCTTACCGTGAAGCGTCCTTTTTTTTGTAGGACTTCCGCCATCTCGTAGAGGAGATTTGGAAATTTTAGTTTACAATCTTATTCATTGGTTAGCTAGATCTCATCCAAATGCGCCTCAATTGCATTCCACAGGTCTTCCTTGGGGACATCTCATATCAGGTATTTTATCTATAGTGCAGTAGTAATTTAATGTGAATTGCTTTATACACTTGCCAAATACAGGTTTATATTTATATCCCTCCAAAAACATCTTTGATCGAATACTAGTAACGCACACATCTAACCTAATGAAACATGTCTTTACAGTTGTAAATTTGAGATAAAATGATCTTGATTTTTAATAAGTTGTCAAACAGATTTAATGACGTATTGACGAATCAACTACGTAGAGAGGAAGACAGTTAAGAATTTCTGTTTGTTCTAATATCAAGCATTATTAATTTTTTATCTATCAAGGTTGACACTTTAAGGAAAATTATTTGTTTTACTTTTTAAACACATAAACGTAGGTACAGGAAGGTACCAAATAGATATGCGCCACATAAATCATTCGATATGTGTGAGGGCTAGGATACTGCCCAGGTGCCCGAACCGAAGCAGGTGGTTTTCTTAAGGGGCCACGCCGCAAGCCTTTGACCTAAAGGTCTAATCCACAAGGCAATGGCGCAACGTCAGGAGATGCAGTCCCATGGTAGCCGGTGACCAACGATTGGTTCATACGCCATTTGTTCCCTTAGGATCCTGGAGTCCATATGTACCATTAGTTTGGAATCAGGGTTTTCCAACTCCCCTAGGTGAATCCTCCATATCCACCAACCCGGTTAAAGCGCCGGACATTCGCTTTTCGTTCTCTCAATTTCGTAAGCAACACTCTCGCCTTGAGATGGCAATGAGTATGACTTCCCTGGCAGTGGTTGTATGCACGTTTCCATGTAAGATCATTTCGAGAGGGATAGTTGACTCTCCCCACTCTCGATCGTACCATGACATTCGGGGGCTGGAAACAAACGAAACATGGAAGTTTTATTTTGTCTTAGCCCATTGAAGATTTTAGTGATTTGTAAGAATAATCCGTACCTCATAAGAATATGCGATGACAATGTTTCTGTTTGCCATGAATGGATTAGGTTTTAAATATATAATGACCATTAATTTCCGAGCTAGAATAACCAGTCATAACATAATTTCCATAAGACTTCGCACGGGATAATAAAACAGTTGTTTGTTGCTCATGCGGTCAGTCGCTACATAGAATTTAGTACGTATTTACATTGGTTCAAGTTGCCATACACCAATAGAACGGAGGGATGAAATTGTCAGGTAACATTCTAGAGTAGTAGAGGTAGTAACAGTTTTTGTAGTGACTAAAAAGCCTAGGCTTTTAAGGTTGCGACTCGAAAAAATATAAATTAGTGAAATAAAGACAACGAAAGTTATGGGGAATTCAGAAGCTTAAAATTTGGAGGAAAATAAAGAATAGATACACCTGCACCATAGCAAACGATTTTGAGCTATGTCATTCAAAGTCTCTAACCATTGGTTACGACAATCATGCGGGCTCCAACCACGTAGTCTACACCTAATAACATGGCTCAGTTCATTCGTCAATGACTACATGGACTGGTGCCATGTTTTGGTTTGGCCACCCCTAGTCTTCTTCAAACATACTCCTACACCAGACAAGATCACCCATCCAGGTAGGCGGTGTTTTAGCATATATAATACGTGTCTTAACCACCTCATTTGATGAATATTTAATACCTCACAATCGATTTGCCGTCTTTACCTAGTACCCTATTCCTAACTCAGGCACTGCTTACTCAATCGTCCCAAAATACACGAGCAATTGTTTGAAGATGCCTGTGATCGGATACTAGTTATCTGCGAATATCCTCCATTTTTAGTGACCGTTTTTCACACCTATAAAGTAGAACGAAGTGAACTACTGCTCAGTAAACCATTAATTGCTGCCTGATTTCTAACCAGTTATTCAACTGATATTTATCCATTCCCAAAATGCTTGCCATAAATGATGAAGTCACGAAAACCACTAATGCAATATTTATAAAAATATTTGAAATGGTGCATCTTTTATGGTATTATCCAATATCTATCATGTTAAATAATTGAACTGTATTCAGTATTTTTATTCTACCCTTCCCACTCACCTGTATATGTAGATCCAAAACTGCGTGCAAATGTTCCTGATCGTGTGAAAGTGGCTGTAGCTGCTTTAAAAGAGAAAACAATGAGAAACCCTGCTGAATTTGTATCACAAGCTGGTTACGGATCTAATCCTGGTTGGTTTTAATATTCTTTGTGTTTTTTTTATTTACTATATTTGGTAACATTTTCTCTGACGGTTAATCAATCAGTCGTGATCAAAAATGTTTTAAAACTTGCTGCCTACATATATCTTCTAATTTTGTAAACTATGTTTCAGAGCCTTAGAATAGTGCAACGCAGACGATTGTCAGACATTCAGCTGCAACGTAGGACCAGGCACATATATGCATCGGTCCAAGTTGTCACACCTCATTAGCACAGCAAAATGAACACCGGATTCATAGAAGTAGTTAATTCAGTGGTAATATATAGAAGGACATAGTAGAAGAAGAAAGAACTAGTTGGCAGGAAGGAACATATGAAGCGATTGTAATCTAGGTTAAGGTAAGAGTGGTCGATTCTGAGCCATGCCACCACGAGTCTCCAACCATTGGTTACGATAGTCACGTGGACCCCAACCAGGTAGTCTGCATCTACCAACATGGCTAAGGCTAGAAGTTAGTGACTTCAAGCACTGATGTCAAATTTTGGTTTGGCCTCCCCTAATTTTCTTCCAACGATCCCCAACACTAGTCAGCATTGCACGTCGTGGTAATCGGTGTTCAGGCATACGCGGCACGTGGCCCAACCATCTCAGTCGATGAAGATTCACAACCTCATCAACTGATTTACTATCATTCCCTGATACCCTGTGTTTAGCTTCACTATTACTTACCTGGTGATCCCAGAAGATGCGAGCAATATTTCTAAGGCACCTGTGGTCAAATACTAGTAACTTACGAGTATCTTCTCCTCTTGAGAGCCATGTTTCGCAGCCGTATAGTAGAACGGATCGAACTGTCGCACAGTATACTCGTCCCTTAGTTGATAGACGGATATCTCGCCTTCGTCATAGGTGACGTAAGTTGGCAAAAGCCGAACGAGCTTTTCGAATCCGTGCTGAGATTCCGTCAGACACCAACCCATTAAGGCTGATCAGACTTCCAAGATAAGTGAAGTTGTCAACGCATTCGACTACTTCACTCCCTATCCTTAACTCAGGTGTTGACGCAGACCAGTCCTGGAGCAACAACTTGCATTTAGAGGGAGAGAAGCACATCCCCAACATTCTGGCATTGTTGCTCAGTGCTACCAAAAGACTGCATTTTATCAGCGTCTTCACCAAACAGGACTATGTCATCTGCGTATTCTAAGTCGATAAGTAAACCTCCTGGTAGAAGCTCAATGCCCGAGAATTCAGCCGATGAGAGCGTTATTTCCATCAGTAGATCTATGATGAAGTTAAACAAAAATGGAGAAAGTGGACAGCCTTGACGGACACCACTTGAGGTTGCAAAAGCAGATGACAGTTCGCCATAAGCTCTGACTCGACTATTAGCATTCGAGTAAAGAGCCTTCACAAGGTTTATGTGTTCCTGAGGTGCGCCTTTCCATGACAGACACTGATACAGAATCTCTCGGTCCACAGAGTCAAATGCTGCTTTCAAGTTAAGCAAAACCGCCATTGTCGGATGCCGATAAGTATGCCTGTGTTCTAGAACCTGACGAATGGTGAATATGTGGTCTATGCATCCACGACCAGGTCTGAAACTAGCTTGATTCTCTCGTGTTTGCAGTTCACAAGTCTTAGTTAGGTGTCCGATAATTATCGAGGCTAGTATTTTGGATGCTATATTAGTCAAACTAATCCCTCTATGGTTGTCACAGGATGATTTAGACCCTCTCTTATATATTGGGACGATAAGTGATTGTGACCAGTCAGAGGGGATTGCGTCCAACTCCCAGATTTTAGCTAAAATATTAGTCAACCTAGTTTCTAGAATTGGACCACCATCCTTAAAGACCTCTGGAGCCAATCTATCTGGACCAGCTGCCCTTCCTCGTTTTAGAATAACTATAGCCTTTTGAACTTTAGCTAGAGTTGGAGGATCTACTTCAATGTTCCATTCACATTGTCTGGGAATGGAGGGTAGTCGTAGAGTAGCTGAAGGCCAGCTGAACTGCTCCTTAAAGTGTTCCGCCCATCGTTCTAAACGTCTGAACTGGGAGCAGATAAGAACGTCGTCTTTTTCGAAATAGCCTGACTTACACTTGACTTATGAATTTCACTTTCTTTTATTAGTCTGTAGAGCTGTCTTGTGTTCCCCATAGCCGCCGCCTTTTCCATCTCTTTTGTTTCGTTTCGCACCACTGCTCACGATCATTCCTTAGACTTTTGCTTAACGTAGATCTGATTTCTTTACGCTCTTCATCGTGTTCAGAACCTGATGGGATGAGTTTACGAGAATCCATCAGTGCAATAGACCTTGAAGAAATCCATTGGTTCTTTGTAACCCTTTGGTTTAAATCACTAATCGATGTCAGTGCTGTTTCCACAGCTGATTGTATATCATTCCAAGCAATGTCTGGGTCAGCCTTGTTTTCAGAACTACCTAAGTGTGACCTCAGTTGTTCCTGGAGCCGAACAGCGCATAGGCTACTGTTAACAGGGATCCATTCTAAGTTATTCTACTGCCCTCGTGCTTATTGCTATGCCAACACCTGCAAGTCCACGAGAACGTGCTGTGGGGTCGCCAGATACACGGAGGGTGTATCTCGTCGGCTCTCCGTTTTGCCGAGGTGAGGTCAAGTGAATGACCACACTAGGACTCTGTATGTGTGTTTCGGATACACAGCATACATCAATAGAACGAGATTTTAGGGTTTTAGCCAAGGAAGCCTGCTGACCGATTTGGCATAGTGTGCGTACGTTGAAGGCTCCGAAGTATAGTTTGGAGCGAGGTTTCAGTAGACCTGGGACAGTGTTTTGCGCACTAGAATCGTTGGCTATGGTGACACTTGAGGAGGAAGTTTAGATTTGAAAGTCGATGTAGAAGGAATAATAGGAATTGAAGAGGGTGGTTGATTATGAATACAGTGATCTTGGGTGCTGTTAGAGGTGCGAGGGCGGTTATCACTTCCCGGTTGCCCACACCGTGGAGGGGTTCTTCTGGAGGTACCTGAGAAGGAAATTGGATTAGAGGTGGTCTTAGTGACCTGAGAGCGTGACCGCAGTGCCCAAGGGACAACTGCTTGAGGTTGGTCACACACGACCTTTTTGTGGTTAATTTTTGTGTTAGCTCCGTACTTGTTGAGACCTTACCGCCGGAGACGGATATCTGTGGGATAAGGCGAGGTGTGCATTTTTAGGGTCGACCTTTTCTAACCCCACCCCTCTTTGTGGGAAGGCAGCATCGCTGTTATGCTGGTTGTCTGAAGGAAACACCTTACTGTTGTCACACCTTTGTACAGTCAACAGTACGACTTTGCCTTCGGACCTTGGTTTTGTTGCTTTTTAGCCTTACCGCTCTTCAACCGACCTGTCTGGCATGGTAGGACCTTGAGGAACGGTTGTTCCAGCCAGTATAGCTCAGTTGCTTCATCACGACAGGCAAGCTCGACCACCACGTCGAGGTAGCAACAACAGTCGGGGCAGACGATTGTGGACTATATTCGCTCTTTACTTGGTAAACGGATGTCTCACCTATACTACAAGTGACGTAAGTTGGTTTAGCCAAGGGAGCCTTAAGAATCCGTGTCGATATTTCATCAGGCACTACCCCAGCAGGGCTGATTAAACTTTCAAATTGAGTGGAATAGTTAATGCACTCAATTACTTCACTCCTTATGATCAATCTAGGAGATAATGCAGACCATTCTTGAAACAATATCGTACATGTAGACGGAGTGAAACACATCATAAACGTGCTTGTATTGTTATTCAGGGAGATCGAAGGACTAAATTATATCATCTTCACCAAAACGGACAATTTCATCTGCCTATTCACGGTCGATAAATAATCCTTCCTGTGGACCGATTCTCGAAATTATCTTATGAAACAGTATTTGGTATAGAAAAGCTTTTTTATCTTGTTACTGTACAACAATTTCTGTACATTCTTAAACATCATAAATTGCCATCAACTAGCCTAAGTGATTTACGATATACGATTACAACCGGAACAATGTGAAACAGTGGCTAACAAGATATACGTTATTCCAAGTTATTACATTTTGGAATAATGTAAGGGTAATCAAAACTAACAACACAAATAATTGAGTGATAAGAAAGATACGACAAGAGGCGAAATGAATAAGTTTTCAGTGTATTCAGATATGGTCGCTTTATCTAATGTCTATTCAACTTGTAGCTAAAGGTACTATTAGTGTCTGCTTTACCGGTTCATACTCAGAGACTGGTTCAAACGCAGTCTTGTATATGAATAACGAGTATATATACAAACCCTTACAAAAAGTATAATACTAATAATATCTACATTAATGTTTGTTTATTTTTATGTCGTTATTGCAACCTGATCGTAACTGATCCAATCGAGCTATGTTGAGTGGAACATTCATTCCTTCAGGTCCTACTGTACCAGGCAGTTTGGTTAGACAGCTGTAAGACTAAAAGCAACAAATTCATAGTCCTAGGGCAAAGTTGTACTTCTGAATATACTAGGGTGCGATAGTAGTAAGATGTTACCCTCACACAGTCAACATCTGCAGCGATGCTGTTTTCTCGAGATTGAAGAGGGGGGTTATAACATGTCAGCCCCTAGAAATGGCGCACCTCACTTTGGCCCGTGGATTTCCATTGCCTACGGTAAGACCTTTAAAATCAAAGCTGACACATTTGAAACTAAGGATATAAAAGCCATGTGTGGCTAGGCTCAAACGGTTGTCAGTTGAGCTCTGGGGTCACTCTCAAGTCGTCAAACCCATTCTGAACCTAAATTCCTTTCCAGATCTCTCAAGGTGAAATATACTTCCACAACGTGAGCGATCGAGAAACGGCAACCACCCCAATACCTCTAACCTAACGATTGATTTTTATCGTGGCAGATAAATTTTGTGTCCAATGTTTCACCTTTTTTTCTTTTTTGAGAAAAGAATATGTTGTTTTGTTCCGTTGTTATAGATATACTTGCATTTATTCAGTCTATCATAAAGCTGAATTATACAGATACACCAGATTATTCTCGTCTACGTCAATTATTGTACAATGCAAAATGTTCTTTCAGCAATAAACAATCTACCGTCGTACCAAGCTATAAATTAACTATAGAATCGGATGAAACAAGTATCAAAGCTTCGCCTTCACGGCGTAAATATAATATAGATAATTCTTCAAAAGTAGGTAGTTATATTTACAAGTTTATTTTTCTGGAGAAGAAAGTATTTAGATAAACTGAAAGTTATTAAACTAAGGTTTTTTCATTTTAATTCAATATAAGATGTAATTAGTGTTGAAGCTTCTAGAGAAAAATTGATTGTCAGATCATGGTAGTGGTTGTGAAAGTAGCGGTTGTTATCACTAAAATCTTTCGTTCAAATTGAAACTTATATACTTCTGTCGGTGTTTTCCAGAGTTCTTTAAAGAAATTCATTCATTTAAATGATATATGAACACCTGTCAACTAGGATCCAACAAGTTTAGTTGGTCAGTCATGATTAAGGTAAATTCTAACATAAATATGCGTTATGGCAGTGAAACATGGCCGGTAAGAGTAGAAGATATTCTAAGGTTACTAGTATTCGATCATAGGTGTCTTCGAAACATTGCTCGTATATCCTGAGACCATCGAGTAAGTAACGCAGTTGTTAAGAAACCGGTACTAGTTAAGGATGGCAAATCGATTGATGAAGTAGTGAAACTTCATCAGTTGAGATGGCTGGGATAAGTGTTACGTACGTCCAACCACCGACTGCCCCGACGTGCGATGTTTTATGGTGTAGGAGTAGGTTGGAAGAAAGCTGGGGGCGGTCAGATAAAAAGATGGCGCAAATCCATGAAGTCACTGACAAGTGGGCTGAGCCATGTTGGTGGGTGTAGACTACCTGGTTGGGGACCGCGAGATGATAGCAACCGATGGTTAGAGACCTTGAATGACATGGCTCAAAATCGTTTGTAATGGCGCAGATGCATTCACTGTTTGTGTTCTCCCAAATTCTAATCTTCTGAATTCTTGATGTCTCTTTTTGTTTCTCTTTCCAAATTTATTTCACTGTATTATACTCCTTAAATAACATCATCAAACTCTAATGTTTCCGACTACTGCTTATACTCTTACCACCTCTACCACTATGGAATTTTAATCGACAGCTGTATCTGTGTGCTAATGTGATATGGCAATTCGAACTGATGTACGTACGTACGAAGTTCCACGTTGTTACTGACTGACTAACTAATTGAGGTTACCACACCAAATCATCAAAACAAAATGAATAGCAAAATAGTTAAAATAATTACAATATCAATGATAGTGAGAAATAATAAACTTGAGAATGTCGTTCGGAGGAGTGAAGTCGTATATATAAAAAAATACTGAAACTCAAAATCTAGAGAAAAGTAAAGAATGGATATATTTGACCATTATGACTAGTTATAAACTTCGTCATGTAACATCTACAGCCACTATTCGCATTTATGGTACAGATTCTGACTAGGTACTCTGCGCCTACCAACACTGCTCAATCTACCAGTCAGTGATTTAATGAACTGACACCTTATCTTAGTTTGACCGCTGTTAGCTTTCTTCCAACTTATTCCTACTCCAACCAACCGTACATGTCGATGTTGGCTATGGTTGAACTTGAGTAATATAAGTACGAATCACACAATAATCAATGAAAAGGAGATAAGCAGTGAACATCAAGGGATATATTTAGAGTTGTAACACAATTAAAACGCCCCTCATTTAGTTTAAAGATACGTGTTATTAATTATGAAAAGTCACAATAGAAACTGTAATCGAGTTATCGCTAACATGAAATTTGAATTATTCTTAACAATGTGCCAAGGTACTGAATTTTGTTCCGTGGATTTTCATCCAGATATTCATGATGAACCAATAGATACTAGCAAAGCCACTTTCGTTCCATGATGGTCTGCCTTAAACTCAGAATTTTGTACCAGCATAGAAAATAATCCTCAATTGGGGAACCTCTGGAAAAATATGCCTAAAATGTCTCGTGATTACCGAATTTATTGTCCCAGTTATGGTAAGACTTATGAGATAACTGCTTCAACTATCCCCAAACATACATTTGGAAAACTCCAGATTCCCTACACTATGTTACTGGTGAATGTAAAGTGTTTTCCATAAAAAGACGTTCGAAAAGATTTTATATGCTTTGACCTATTATTATTTCATGCAGATCTGTTTGTCACTTAAAAAATCAATTTCAGAGACCATCTTCTTTTCATATTATTCATTGGGAATATACTCGTGTTATTGCTGTATAAAGAATGCAATGGAAGCAAAGGATAGATTTCATTATTTTGATCATTGTGTATAAACACTTCTGTTATGTATTCCTCAAATTTACTTATTTTATGGAGTTTTTCTGTTATCCTATACTTTCATTTTTGCTTTTATACTTTTATGTTGAACTGGTCATGATAAATATCCACTTTCTTTCTATACTTCACTACTATAGATCGATGATTCACGCGCTTTAAATTCAGTGGAGAATTTGGAACTTATTCATACAATTCCAAAAACTCCAAATAGTTTACCTAGTAAGCGACTCCGAGGTCGTCCACCCGGTCGTTCCAAACAATTAGAGAATATATCACCAGCTGTTACTTCTTCGTCCGAAGTAGTAGACTCTCTAAAACACTCTAAAATTTCTGAGATTGATGCCAAACCAAAGTAAGTGTAAAGATCAAATTATTATTATTATTATTATTATTATTATTATTATTATTATTATTATTATTATTATCCACACCAATCATCTACTTAGTAACAATAGTTTCGGAGTGCAAATTAGCTGTAACCACTGGACTTCAATCATGTGGGTCATTAGTGGAGAACGAGTCAGTTCCCCACTAATGTAATTGATTGATGGTTGCTAAATGTGGCGAATTAGTTGTAGTTGGAATTGCTAACCACTAGATTTCGACTCAGTGGTCTGAATGTCAGGCGCTTGGCATAAAACACTAAGGTTTTGGACTCGACCCCTGGTGGGGTCGTGGTTTCCCACTGCTGAGGAGTCTTATACTAGGACAAGACATTTGTTCAACATTTCTTGGTTTTCAATGGCTGTGTAACTAAGGTCAATATATGATGTATAATATACAGTTTAATTTCATCAGGTGTTAGTCATTTCATGTGTTTATGCTTCTATAACACATCTAGTTGACTTTACACAGATGATTTTTGACTTGTTGCAGAGCTGTTCTTTTCAGTGGCTGATAATAACTGTTGTAGTATGTTCAACACTTCACATATGCCCAAATAATTTCTAGGTTATTTAGTAGTTTTAAATTTTCTTTTTCATATAATCAGATTGATATCTGTAACCTTGCTTGACCTTCATTTCAGAATTATAAGAATGTATCTTGAATAGAATTTTTATATTAGACCAAAATTAATTGAATGAGTACTTTGATTTGAAAACCCACTTGTGGTGATTGAATTCTTGATTATTTTCACAGTTGGACCACCAAACAGTCAAGTCCCAGCTCACTCAATATTTTAGTTATATTTATAGGTTATAGGTTATTTGATAGTCATCTAAATTGGTTCAGTAGCCTAACTTTAGTGTTTCCCATTATCATCAATGAATATCTCTTATCACTTCTACAAGTAAATCATCTTGAAGGTGTTTTGTTCTTTGATCTGGATCGTTTAATCTTAGAGGTGATGTATTCATCACCATCATCAAAAGTAATCAGCTAGAAGTATTTTACAGTTTAGTCAATGATATCTTCAACGATATAAAATCCACATTGATGATAAAATCAGACAATAAACTACCATTATCGGATGTGATCGATCACCAGAACAAATTCGCAAATGCCTGAGACTCATGTCGAAAATCAAAATGTATTAATGAAATCCTTTACTATAACAACAAAGTATTGACCCAAGAAATTGCACACTAGAAAAAACATAATTACACCAGATAGCTCAGAGAACTCAAAATACCTTTATGATCCTCAACCTGTTGTACTACAGATAACCTGGACCATCGTTAACTTACAACTTCCATTTAAATAATTCTAAGAATTTCCTGTTTAAGATGTTCCTAAATTTCTAGTAATAAGTACTGAACTCTAAACTTCTGACATATCAGTAGCGAAACAGTTCTCATCAATGAGATTGGAGTAATCATCGTGCTGTCCCACAAATATCTGGATTTAATCACTGGTTGGGTCGTGGGTGCATACTGCTGTGGAGTATCATATTATGAAGGAACAGTTGTTCAATGCTCCTGAGTTCTAAATAATACTTCAACTGAGATCAATCTATGACAAACAACCTACAAATTCAATCAATCTCCACAAGATTCCTTCAATTTAATCTCTTATGATCATTATGTTGTTATTAATAGTCCTAGTTGATGAAATCAATCAACTTATGAGTGTTTTAAATCCAAAATAATGTTGTTCAAGAGGTTTTTAAACTTATAAACCACTCTAAAATAATTTAAGGGCATGCACTCTAAGGTCTGACTTTCACTAAAACGAGGAATTTCAAGTTTCTTAACTGTTGGGAACCATCAAGAGTGTTCCGGAAAGGTTTTTAAAAGCTACAAATGCTTCGTTCAATCAGCGTTCAATGAAAAAGACGAATTATGTGCTATATCCTGACTGAACAATTTCCTGTTTTAGCATAGTTCCAGAAGCTTCCAAAATGTCAAGACCACACAAACTAATAAATATCACTGTTTTTAGTACTTAAACTAACTTTAGAAGTAATGTTTCTTTTCATACTTTCTCTCTGATTTCCCGTTTGGGTTCCAAGTTTCTATGGAACTAGGGTGTGGTTAAAAGTCAGGTACCAGACCTATTGTTAACTAGCACTATTCTTAAATTATGTTAATTATTGTGTTGACGACTGATTTTCAGATGAAAATGATTATGTGAAATCGGTGGGTCAACGGTCACACTACTTCCAACTAATTGGTTGCATGTTCAAGTCCCTTTCCTTCTACTTTAGTTTAAGCACTTAGGTAGTATTGTTACCCTTTGCATCTATAATGTTTCAAGGTCAATTTTATAAACTTGTTAGTAAATAAGGTAGATTTTATTCTAATAATATTCTATTTCACTATTCAACAGTCCCTAATTTTTTTCATATAATTATCAGTTCATAAATAAATAGATCTGTCTCTTTTAGATTAATCTACAATTTAAAACTGCCAACCTAAATGTGTAAGAATATAAAGTGAAATTTAAGTCATATTATCAAGCTAAAATTATTATGTTCTAAATGTTGTATTAATTATTGTTTGTTTTTTTCGCTCAAATTTCTCATTCTACAATTATTTAGCTCTACAAGATCTAATTTGAAAACGTTGAATTCTCGATCGATATGTTTAAATTCACCAACTAAAGCATCTACTCCTGATGGTGGTGGACTTATGTCGACAGTATCCGGTACTAGATTTTTAAGTCCTAGTAGTACTACTAGTAGTAAACATGGTAATTCTGCCCTTCAACAACGTGTCCGAACTCGACTTATTGATTTGTTTTCAGACAGTGATAATGATGAATCATTTGGTAGTCAACATAACTTGTCTAAATCTCGTAAAGGTGCATTGAAATCAGCGCCTAAACTTCAATCACCGAAGCGATCATCACCGTTTGTCAAAAAATCACAACAACAGAAACGTCAACTACTAACAAGTTCTGCTTCGAAGCAATCCCTACTTAAATCTCCAGAGTTTACTTCTTTAACCTCTGATCGTAGACGTTCCGGTTGGTGTCAAACATCCCCAGAACTGTTAGCTGTCGCCAAAGCTGAAGCATTAGGTCGTAAGGCTTTGAAACTTGCAGAAATGAATTTCCATTGAACCTGTCTCATATACATATATATATGTTTGTGGATGTATATTTATATCTTTGTTGTATCAATGCATTTCCTTTGATCAACATGCTGTGGATATTTATGTTTCTCTGTGAAGATATTTTTTGTTCAATGTATTATTCTATTCATATCACCATGTTTTTTCAATTTGTTGGAAGAGGTTGTGTTAGATCTTTATTTTTTTTAAAAAAATATCTGAAAAAATTCTAGATATAATACTTCAGTTTTGTCACTTATTCATCGAAAAATACTTCTTTCTTCGTTTCTTTCCACCTTAGTTTGTTTGTTGTACTATCGGGATGTATGGTTGCCCAAATGAGACATTTGATCATCAATATCTTCGAAGTATTGAGGTAAAGCTACTGAATATGTAGTTATAAGGTAAAAAGTTCTTAGCAAGGTGAGCTATTCAGTCGATGATGTCATGAACTTTCACTAGACATTTATTTCATAAAGGGACAGTAGTTAAATTAATATTAGAAAGTAAGAACTTCATGGTTGTGTGACATCAATTTACGTTGTCACTGACTGTTGTTTTGATGCACATAAGGAAGTGTAATTTACTTAAGTGGTTGATTAAATACGTTCAAGTAACGACTGATCAGAAACTGGGATATTTCTACTATACTCTCGATTTTTTTTCTGTTTTTTAGATTTGTTTTCACCATATGTAAATTTTCTATTGTGTTGCAAATCGTAGCAACTGCCGACATAATTTGATATCAGTTGTTATACTGAATAAAGCGATAACTATACGTTTTAGCTTAATGATCTACCTGAATTTTTCGACAGTTTTATTGCTGACGTATGACGAAAGAATAAATACGATTTTAAGTTGGACACATTTATTCGTGTATAAAACAGCTGAGAAAGATCCTAAATGTATAGCTGAAAAAATGTATACCTATTTCGTTGCTACGTTCTTTTCTACTCAAATACTTTTCTAGTAGTTTAAATATGTAAACCTAAAATTATCAAGTTTGTTCAGTAAAGCCAATTTTTTTGTGTAGTAAATGTTATTCATAAAGCAGTGTCTTCTGTAGTAGTTGAGAATATGCACATACATTCATTCATACCATATAATTAATGTGTTGAGACGGATATTAAATGTTCTGTCAAACTATCATGCAAAAGATATTTGGTGTTTAATGTCAAGGATCATTCTAACATGATGTTGTCACTGAGAACCAGGATGGACTGGATAGTTGTTTCATCCTAATGTCAAATTCTTCAGCATCACACACTGAGAACCTATCCAGGGATCGGACTCAGGAGCTTCAGGCTGCTGAGTTTTGATCTAGTTATTTATATTTCTAACTTCATTCAATGACACTGATAATGCTTATGTTAACACTGTTTAATTAGACGGAATTTTAATTGCTAAATTCAATTAAACATATGAAATAAAAGAACATAAAATGTCTTGCATACTAGATTGCTTGCATAATTGAATGCTGTATGTGTCGTAACTGTCATTGAACTGAAATGACAGATTACCTATATTTAGCGAATCTTTGAAGCATCATCCAAACTACGTGATACATGAATTATATCTTTATGCAATATAGAAGAAAGTAAAGGGAGATGATTCATACTTAAGTCTCTGTAGAAATTTGAACATTCGTAGGTGATGTAAGAAAAGCAAGACATAATATAATCATTACAAATGAAAAAATCAATGCATATTTTGCCATCGAGAAAGACCAACATTGACCACAGTACAGTTGTACAGTCTGCTAAAATAAAGCGAAGGATAAGGTAGTCAGACTCCAGTTTTATTAGTCGATGTTGAATTATTGAGGATTGATTTAAAATTGAGTGACCTATTTACTTGAACCCAGGTAAAATGAGTAGGCAGATAAACCTTCACTGAATGGTGGCTATAATTCTGTTGGGTATTTCGGAAGTCTATAGTAATTACAAACAGTCGGATTGTCTTTTTAGTAAGGAGCTGGATCTACATGAAGTCAATAGACCGGACGATTGATACAATACTTCAACAATAATCCACCAAGTAGTGGAAGACAGGAAATCGGAGCAGGATACTCTATTCACGAAATCAAAACTGTAACGAAACAACTCTGTATGTATAGCGACAGTTTTAGTAAAGTAAAAGTGAGAATGAGGATTTGAAGTCTTTATAAAGGCGTTGGTTAGCTTTACAAAATTGTTGAATCCAACCGTGCGACTTGTGATTGCTAGTCTTAAATCATGAAGATAAAAATAGCATATTGACAGGCCGATTAGAATCATGAAAATGACCGGCTGTTTTTAATAAGATTAAGAAATTAATCATTTGTTTAAACCATGTACGATGAGCATCAGAAATACGTTTGGATAGTCCTCAGTGAGTTCCAATTAATAACGTCAGTCAGTCATATAATGTAGGACCAGGCACATATATGCATCGGTCCAAGTTGCCACACCTCATTAGCACAGCAAAATGAACACCGGATTCATAGAAGTAGTTAATTCAGTGGTAATATATAGAAGGACATAGTAGAAGAAGAAAGAACTAGTTGGCAGGAAGGAACATATGAAGCGATTGTAATCTAGGTTAAGGTAAGAGTGGTCGATTCTGAGCCATGCCACCACGAGTCTCCAACCATTGGTTACGATAGTCACGTGGACCCAACCAGGTAGTCTGCATCTACCAACATGGCTAAGGCTAGAAGTTAGTGACTTCAAGCACTGATGTCAAATTTTGGTTTGGCCTCCCCTAACTTTCTTCCAACGATCCCCAACACTAGTCAGCATTGCACGTCGTGGTAATCGGTGTTCAGGCATACGCGGCACGTGGCCCAACCATCTCAGTCGATGAAGATTCACAACCTCATCAACTGATTTACTATCATTCCCTGATACCCTGTGTTTAGCTTCACTATTACTTACCTGGTGATCCCAGAAGATGCGAGCAATATTTCTAAGGCACCTGTGGTCAAATACTAGTAACTTACGAGTATCTTCTCCTCTTGAGAGCCATGTTTCGCAGCCGTATAGTAGAACGGATCGAACTGTCGCACAGTATACTCGTCCCTTAGTTGATAGACGGATATCTCGCCTTCGTCATAGGTGACGTAAGTTGGCAAAAGCCGAACGAGCTTTTCGAATCCGTGCTGAGATTCCGTCAGACACCAACCCATTAAGGCTGATCAGACTTCCAAGATAAGTGAAGTTGTCAACGCATTCGACTACTTCACTCCCTATCCTTAACTCAGGTGTTGACGCAGACCAGTCCTGGAGCAACAACTTGCATTTAGAGGGAGAGAAGCACATCCCCAACATTCTGGCATTGTTGCTCAGTGCTACCAAAAGACTGCATTTTATCAGCGTCTTCACCAAACAGGACTATGTCATCTGCGTATTCTAAGTCGATAAGTAAACCTCCTGGTAGAAGCTCAATGCCCGAGAATTCAGCCGATGAGAGCGTTATTTCCATCAGTAGATCTATGATGAAGTTAAACAAAAATGGAGAAAGTGGACAGCCTTGACGGACACCACTTGAGGTTGCAAAAGCAGATGACAGTTCGCCATAAGCTCTGACTCGACTATTAGCATTCGAGTAAAGAGCCTTCACAAGGTTTATGTGTTCCTGAGGTGCGCCTTTCCATGACAGACACTGATACAGAATCTCTCGGTCCACAGAGTCAAATGCTGCTTTCAAGTTAAGCAAAACCGCCATTGTCGGATGCCGATAAGTATGCCTGTGTTCTAGAACCTGACGAATGGTGAATATGTGGTCTATGCATCCACGACCAGGTCTGAAACTAGCTTGATTCTCTCGTGTTTGCAGTTCACAAGTCTTAGTTAGGTGTCCGATAATTATCGAGGCTAGTATTTTGGATGCTATATTAGTCAAACTAATCCCTCTATGGTTGTCACAGGATGATTTAGACCCTCTCTTATATATTGGGACGATAAGTGATTGTGACCAGTCAGAGGGGATTGCGTCCAACTCCCAGATTTTAGCTAAAATATTAGTCAACCTAGTTTCTAGAATTGGACCACCATCCTTAAAGACCTCTGGAGCCAATCTATCTGGACCAGCTGCCCTTCCTCGTTTTAGAATAACTATAGCCTTTTGAACTTTAGCTAGAGTTGGAGGATCTACTTCAATGTTCCATTCACATTGTCTGGGAATGGAGGGTAGTCGTAGAGTAGCTGAAGGCCAGCTGAACTGCTCCTTAAAGTGTTCCGCCCATCGTTCTAAACGTCTGAACTGGGAGCAGATAAGAACGTCGTCTTTTTCGAAATAGCCTGACTTACACTTGACTTATGAATTTCACTTTCTTTTATTAGTCTGTAGAGCTGTCTTGTGTTCCCCATAGCCGCCGCCTTTTCCATCTCTTTTGTTTCGTTTCGCACCACTGCTCACGATCATTCCTTAGACTTTTGCTTAACGTAGATCTGATTTCTTTACGCTCTTCATCGTGTTCAGAACCTGATGGGATGAGTTTACGAGAATCCATCAGTGCAATAGACCTTGAAGAAATCCATTGGTTCTTTGTAACCCTTTGGTTTAAATCACTAATCGATGTCAGTGCTGTTTCCACAGCTGATTGTATATCATTCCAAGCAATGTCTGGGTCAGCCTTGTTTTCAGAACTACCTAAGTGTGACCTCAGTTGTTCCTGGAGCCGAACAGCGCATAGGCTACTGTTAACAGGGATCCATTCTAAGTTATTCTACTGCCCTCGTGCTTATTGCTATGCCAACACCTGCAAGTCCACGAGAACGTGCTGTGGGGTCGCCAGATACACGGAGGGTGTATCTCGTCGGCTCTCCGTTTTGCCGAGGTGAGGTCAAGTGAATGACCAAACTAATCCCTCTATGGTTGTCACAGGATGATTTAGACCCTCTCTTGTATATTGGGACGATAAGTGATTGTGACCAGTCAGAGGGGATTGCGTCCAACTCCCAGATTTTAGCTAAAATAT